ATTTCTGAAGGGGGGCTTCTACACTTAGCTCTGCAATCAGATTTCTATGCTTATCAAAACCTGACTGACTTTGTTTAAATGACTAAGTAATAAAACTGAATGGAAAAGGTTTATCTCCTTTTGATGCAAAGTGAGCAACTTGCCTTTCAGTAAGAACCGCACACACTTAAGACACTTTGCTGCATTTAAGCAAAGCAAGCCTTCTAGATCAATTATATACTAATTCGAATTTGCCAAAGTACCGGGCAACTTCGTAATTAGAAATGACCTAGTGGTCAGTCATTAAATGTTATTTAGTAATATCTGCCTTGACAGATGTTTTCATGCAGTGCGTGCTTTAATACGCACAATATCTCATGTTGCAAATTAAGACTGGACTATATCATTTATTTGTGAAAATTTGACTCATTCTCATAGGTATACACTAGGCTTCACTGGGAGTGCTATCTGACTGAATGATCTCCAAATTGGCTCAATTTGCAGGTATCAGTTTTTATTCTCTTTATGAAAATCAATTACAACTGTACCTACCAACACCACTGAAAACGGTGTTCCAACTGTTTCTGCTATAGCGATATTGTTAACCACTATTAATATCCTCAGTTCTAAGAAAAATATAATATCCAATTTTTACTGCCTCCATTATAGCTGATTGTTTCAATAATTAACTGATTAGTGAGAACAAGGGGTAAAATAAACAAACAACAAGGCTGGGTTGCTATCGAAACTATTGCAATATGGTTTTTTAAAAATTATAGAAAAAAAAAATAGTTGCTTATTCTAAGAAACAACCCACTGATTTCTTCTGAGCTGACAGAGTAGCACAGCAGGAGAAATCAGTCCAACTCGCTTTGTGCTTCTGCATGGAATTTACTGGAACGCAAGTTTGCAGAGCCACACTTTTCAAACACATAATCAATGTCCAAACAGCAACCCAGCCCAGTTTCTGGAGATATATTTATTTCTCAGTATGATCATCATAAAATAACTTCTTTGAAAGAAGGTTGTTAACTTAGTAGCTAAGTAACATTAAATAGCATTTCTTATGAAGCAAAGCTCTTTTATTACTTAAAAGTAATAAAATATATATATATAACATGCACAGAAAACAGATTTATTACTGTATTTTAAGGACAAATGTCCAAGGGCAGAATATACCTTCAGAATTTATTTTAAATCATGATGAAGCCAAGGGAAAAAAGCTTGAAGTCCCCAGAGCACATGATTACAGAATTTGATCCATCAACATACAAGTACTAGTTTCTGCAAGCTCATATATATTTAATTTTAAGCATATGGGGACTTTTCAAGAACTTCCATGCACAACTTTTTACTTCATTGAAAACCAAAAAGTGTTCAGGTATTTTTCCAGTTCGTCAAGATAAGATTTTTGAAGTGCTCTATTGGCAATATGTTAGTTTCCTGAAAAAGGAATCCAACCTTTTCACCAGCTGTTTTTTTCATTCTATTGCAGTTTTCCAAGAAAACCATTAGCGGAAGGAGGAAACACTAAGTATAATTCTAAACAGGGAACTAGAAAATAGCATTGCATGTGGATTCTGACAAAGAAGTTGCAACTCTGATAAGCTGTATTTTGGCTTTAATGACAGCCTTAGGGCATCCATGTGTGTACATGTAATAAATCATCCCATTGAAAAGATAATTACTAAAGGGAAAAAAGCTTTCTTGATAGCAATTACACTAAACTGTTCAAATTAGCATACCCACAGATGGTTCTTTGTTGTCCTACATACACATTAGAGACACGAATGTTTCATTACATTAATTCGCTCACTTGAAAGGAAAAAAAAATCAGGACCTGGTTATTAATCACACTAATACTTCATAGGCTTTGTAAACTAAGGAGGCTTTTGACTGCAAAACCAATGTAGAACAAAAGGTTAATTAGGCTTTTAGGCCTGAGTTTTCAAAGGCAGTGAAAGTTGGACAATATCTATGTGAAAACAGCAATCTCTTCTAGCTGCAGGCAGGGATTCAGAAATATATCCCCATTACTATTTGGTCTGGCAATGCCGTCCCTTTCTGAGCATGGACACAGCATGCACACCCTTTCAGCAAAGAATAATCTAATTAAAATGTATACTTGCATATGGACATGCTGTGCAACTCCTTTCCAATTTAATTGTAAGGATTATTACAAGAATATGAATACTCCCCCACCAGCAGCTTAAACAGTTTTCACAGCTTATTGCTGTTGCTTTCCTCCATGTTTGTTCCCTGTCCTCTTCTCTTCTAGAAAATCATGTCAGATTTGGGTAAACACAAACAGGCCTGTCCCATTGAGAAGCACATGCTAATGACCGTTTCAGGACTGAAATGCACCCTGCCAGCAGCTTTCACGTATGAAGCTAGCTTTCCTAATGACTGCTCAAACAGAGGTCAAAATCTTGACCCTCTGAAAAAAATGGTTCTCTTGTTACTTACTTCAATAGGACTGAATTTCATCCTGGCTTTGTTACACGGCTATTCCTTCTCCCAGTTCCTTTGTTATTTGTACCTCCTTTTTGGAGTGGTGGTGAGTAAATTACAGAGAAGCCACCCAAGCCTCAATAAGAGGAACTTACAGCAGTCACCACCTCTGCCCTCTCCAGAAAGTTAAGAGACTGTCCCCATCCTCAATTCATCAACAGTCTACTTCTGGTGGGATAATCCAACCCCCACTGTCTGATTAAACTCTAGGTTATAAGTTTCCATTTATCAACTACAAGTTATGTTTAGAGTCCACAACTCACTCTCATCTGGGATAATTATATCAGCAATAGAACAAACTATTTAAAGCCTCATATGTCTTGCAGTATTAGTTATGTAGTACAAAAACGTGTCAGGGAAAAACTATGAAAGCCCAGTACAACCACCAATGACGAGCTCACCAGGTATAGATTTCTGCACACTACCATGGCAGGACTTAGCTCCCTCTTATGCTCCTACCCAGAGACACATGTTCTCCCTCTCTATCAGCCTGTCACAGCTCAGTGAAACAACTGCCTGGCCTACTTCTGGCAACCTTCACAAGCACCAGACCATTTTTTAACTGTCTGTAGCTCCTGATTAAGGATCTTAAGTTTCCATGAAATAAGGCTTACCAACACCTAGGGTACAATCCCTTGAAACAAACTGTAATGCCCTGCTCGCCTTTAAATGCCTGCTGGATTGCTGCTGTCTAGGAAACCCTTGTGTATACAGTGAGGTTTGCACACAACTACTGGAGATATCAACAGCTCCTGTCTTTCCTGGACCATGTTCAGAGGGATGCATGATGGTACTAATGCATCATGGCACCTTCCAGACACCTTCTGTGCTCAAAGTTAGAAATCCTCCCTATTGCAGACTCTGAAAAAACTCCTAACCACTTTCAAAGTGGCTGGAAGCATCTTGCTGAAATATATGTACCATCTACGTGTTTAATTTGAGGTATGAAAAGGTGGTCGATCTATACCTTACACTCTTCTCATTCACCTTTTCACTTTGCAGTCCTCATCAGTAAGTTGCCACCAACACCTCCCCATCCTTTTTATTTATTAAGAGGACTCTACAGTCTTTCACTGCAGATCAGGGAACAAGCTCTTGAGATGCAGTTTGCAGCTCTCCTCCATTCAGTTTTTTACTATCTTGAACAAACCCAATTTTCTCTCACAACCCTCCAAATGCCCCTACCCTGCAAGCATGGTAAACCACTAGGTAGAGAACTGAGCAGCAGATAGGCTCAAGTGCCTATACTTTCAGGTAGCAGCTCATCTCCTTCAGCAGTGGAAGCAGGTAAATATTTGTGTTTAGCGCTCTACAAACTATTTTTCGCTTGGTAAAATAGTTTCTCTATGTGGCTGGCTGCTGCACATTCCTGCATCAATGTGATAACTGAAAGTTTTCAGTTAAATAAAATTATCTCCAAAGTGCCTACATATATCTTTTAATGCCAATTAGTCTTTCATTTTCTCCTCTCCAGCACCACTACTATTTGTTGGAACCTCTTTTACCCTTGCAGTGTCAACAATGACTAACAAACCTGACCACAGGTCAGTGTCAGCCTCACTTGAAGTCATTCTTCCCTTCCTTCCCAAATCTCTCTCCAGAGAACCACTGCAGGATTGCTCACATCTTCTCAAAGCTCCTTTCTCTTGTTTACTTGAGCTGTGCCAAACAAGTTGGAGAAGCAATTAAGCTCTCTCCTACATCCTCATCTAGCACGTCTGTTCAATACTCTAAGATACACAGAAAGAACGAGCATATGTCTGTGGTCATCTCTTCAGCTTTGTCAGATAGAGATGCTGTAGGCCAGGAGAATCAAAATGCCCCAAGTCTTTCTGTGGAGCCACACGATCATGGAGGCCCCACAACTCTGTATGTTTTGATAACTTCTATGTGTACAGCCACAAGATATATATAGGGCATAATCTGGGAGTAATACAATTTACGCAGTATCTAACTCCATACGTCCTCACCTGCACTATGCGCATTCTTGAAGTACGTGGGTCACCACTTTACATGACAGCCAGGTACACATGGTTTTTCATTTTCACTTGCCAGTGATGTTATCTGGCTGTTCTCAGTACTGTTGTGTCTAAACTCTTAAGTCCAAAAGAAATGTTCTCTGAATACTCTATACTTTCACGATTATAGAAATTATTCTCTATTGCTAATTTCACCTGATTTAACTGAGTGAGTCTGGAAGTTCACTGTTTAGCAAAAGAACTGACAGAACAATGTGTTTCTACTGAAAAACAAAGTAAATGAATCCTTACGAAGTCATCTTTATACAGTGTCAAAGAAAAAGAGAGTATATGTAAAAGTTTTAAAACCATTTTGGCCCCGGAGCAAAAAAACGCTACAATATTTGGAAAGAGTTAAAAGCAGCCTCAACATTTTTTCCCAAATACAAATCAACAGACTGGATCCATTCATTTAAGTCATAAATATCAAAGAATCTGTCACAGAAAACTGGTACTCAAAATAAACACAATCAATTACGGGTGCTATCGTACCTTGACAAAATGTAGCATTGATCCTCTTGTAGCCTTGTGGACATTCCATCATAGGACTGTAACCATGATAAGCTGAAGAAAAAAATTGTGTCCGTTAAATGCTGCTGATTTATATGCTTAGTTAGAGAGCCTGACAGCCAAATTATGTAACTATAAAAAAAATCATTATAAGCTTTTATGATGTATGGTTAAGCATAAAAGGTCAAGAAATTAAAATTACAGGTTGTACAGGTAACCTTAATTCCATTTCTTTCCACATGTACACCACTTAAGTCTTCAGTTAGCCAGTCAAATTTATGTTTTTCCCAAAAAAGAAAAATCTTTTAAATCAGGGCGATATCTTTCATCCTAGTTGTTCTCAAATATTCCAGTAATTACCTTCCCAAACCAGCTACAAATGTCATGTGGGGAAAAGATGAAGTTGAAGATTCATGATGGAAACTCAATATTTTTAAAACTGAAAGCAGCTTTAGAAAGCAGAAGTATCTTCAGTGTTAAGCAAAATTGTTGGGTACCATTTCTCCTGCCACAGTGAATTAAAAAAAATATTTTAAATACATAGGAAATAGAAGCAAATGAACTTTTAACACAAGGCAAAAAGAAGAAAAAAAGCACATTTGTGATTTACCTAACAAAGCTGCTGAATTTTAGAAGACTGCGACTTACTGGCTGATCAGTGTAATCTGTCAAGGGCATAACAACACTGCAAAATACAGACTGAATTCAATTTTGCCAAAATAGAAAGTGTTCGGTTAACTAGATTTTTATTTCTATTTATTGTTTCTTTCTTCCACTTAAGGTTGCCTTTGAGACTAGAGAAAACTGTTTATTGATTCTTAAATTGTTACAACATCATAAATGAGAGCAATAACTTCTTTGTATGGTTATGCACTAAAAGCTAACCTCTTGGCAAATCCCAGTACTTTATTAAATATATAGGACTAAACTTTTGGCACTATGATCACACAAGTGCATTTAATAAGAGTCAAGAGAGTTTTTCATAATTTGAATGCTACAACAGAGATACCTTACATTTGGTCGGATCTTTTGTTTTCTATTAAAAGTGTTCTAAATGTT